ATATGATCACTTGTCAGGACCTTTCAGTATAACTGCTTTCCCAGTTTATCCCCTGTATCTTCTTCTAAGCTGAATTCCATTTTGTTATTTTCTGCCTGTGTTTTTTATCTCTCCTGGGCCTTTTATAATAGTTTTCTGCTCTGATTCCTTTAACAGAATCTGCATATTCCATTAATTTGCTACAGGCTTCCACTTCCAGATCATTACAAGCAGAACTGCTGCACACAATTAAGGGGTCTAAGTTTTTCCATCATCAAACCCTATTTTTAGCTACTTATACATTTGCCAAACTTTAGCTGGTCTGCCTGAAATTTTCAGCACCAGGTGTTTGCCTTAGGCTGATTTTTTTCTGAACATTTTGTCAAAATATTTCTCAGAACACGGCTAGCTAAAATACATTGTGTTAAAAAAAAAAGTGACACCCATTGCATTCAGAAGCCTCCCACCTTTGGAGCAGCCTTAAACTTTGCCAAGAGTATCTGCTCTGGAGTTAGAGAGATACATTTTGCTGTCCCCAGGGAAGTTTACCTTCTTTTGGCTGAATTATAGGACTCTGAGAGTCTCCACCTGAACATGTGGAATGGATATTTGTTAGAGTTTAGCAGAGGTATTCTCTGAAGATTCTGCCTATGTGGCAAATATTTCCAGTCAAATCAGGATTTTTCCTACCATGCCTCGGAGTCACCCAGTTGAAACAGGGGCAAAAGGAAGCTAGAGTACAAAGGTAAGAGGGGCAAGCTAACCAGGATGAACCTAGAGAAGGCAGGGCAGACAGATCTGAAGGGGACAGAGGCAATATCAGCAGCACACTGGTGAGAAAAGAGGAAAAAGGAAAATAAAGATTTATTACAGCACATGCTTCTCCAGAAGTTAGGATTGAAAACAGGCTTCCTGAATACATTAATTTATGATGCAAAGAAGTTTGTTTAGCAGGACCTGTTCTTCAGTAAATCTTTGCTGCAAATCTTTCATGCTTGTAGAGAGGAATTGGCAAGCTTTTGCCACCATAGGCCATTGCTTGTGACTCAGCCCCCTACCTCCCACTTTCTTGGAGATCAGCAGATACTGCAAAGGGAATAGATAGAAAAGGGAGGTACTAGCACCCTAGGGTTTTCACCTCTGTTTCAGCAGAGAGAATAAACTGAACACTACAGGCAGTACAACACTAAATATGACTCCTCTGCTACCATGGCTGGAGCATGTTGCTGATAGTCTGAGCTTCCACAGGCTGGATGTAGTCTCTTTGTGGGCCAGATCTGGCCCACAGGCCACAAGTTGTTGACTTCTGTTCTTGAATCTTAGGGTGGGATTCACAAAAAAGTATATGGGCATTTATAAATGTGCTCTGGGGAGGGGTACACTTTAATTAGCACAGCTCCAAGAGCAACACTAATTAAAAGCACCCGGAGCGTCACGTGTATCAGCGTCCCTACACTGAAAAATGGTGGCGGGGCGCTTTAAACTAAAGCTCATCACCCCGCTACCATTTTTCAGTGGGGGGGATGCTGATACATGTAACACTGGATTCTGCTGGAGTGCAGTAATTACCACACTCCAGCAGACTCAATTGAGCAGCCTCCCTGCATGTATATAGGAGCCCTCTGTGCTGCTGCACCTAAAATGGGACCTAGGTGAAATTTAGGTGCCTAGGTTTAAGAAGTGATGCACAGAAACTCTATCTTGCTAAAGCACCTGAGACCCATCTTTAGATGCCTAAAATTCAGCAACTACATGAGCCCAGAATGAGTTCATTTTGGCTTAGCCAAGCTTCTAGGTGCCTATGTCCTATATAAGCCCTTTTGAGATTCACCAGCTAGACAGCTCTGCACCTGACCAGCCCAATCCAGCAAATGACTTTATGCCTCATTTAGCACCACAAGGTTCAGCACTTTCCTTGGAAAGCTTTCTCTGGTGGTGTTGAGCAAATTCTGTTAAAAGCCCAATAGCCTGGTGGATAGATAAGTCATCCAGGAAGTGGGGGGCCTGGTTTCTAGCTGAGGGGGGTCAAACACATATCTCTCACCTCCCAGAAAAATGCTGATTGGTCTGATCCTGGACAAGCACCAATTTCCAGGAAAAAAGCAAATACTCCATGCTCAAAATGGGAGCTCTGAACTATACTAATGGTCAAGGAGCCACTTGGCAGAAACTAGCCTGTGCTTTGACATGTGACATGTCATGAAGAGCAAACTACACCTCTGACCCCTTCCTTGGTCTGCCTGTATCCACCTCTATCAGGAAGTGATGGCCTCTCACCATCTTGTGATCTGGGGTAGACTTGTGATTCTCTTACTTATGGCCCTGTGGTTTGGAGTATAAACCCTTTGGACCAGTTATGGTTCTTCAGCAGGTCTTACAGTATAAGGCGCCTACAAGCCTTCCCTTTAGGCATTGTGACTAGTAGTTAATACACTAACCAAACAGCCTTTCCAAAACAAAGTATTGCTTAATTGTACCTGGAGGAACAAAACTGAAGTCAGGGGTGCTAGGAATGCTCAAAGCAGCCTGCCGAATTGGGCTGGTCATGGCACAGAGATGCAGAATACCTAGTTAGTGGAGCTCTATAAAAGGGATCTTAACACAGCAGAACCATCATGGGTAGGCTTATCTTCCCCTTTGGATGCTTAGAAAAGCCCCCTATGTGCAGAGCCCCTCCATGAGCAGCTCCTGATAACTGCCTCCCCATCTTTTTTCAACTCTTTCAGTCCTTTTGATCAGTCTGTTCCCATCCTCAGCAAAACAACTGCATAATTTTGCCAGGAGCCTGCAGACAGCATCCTTACTGCTAATAACTCAGATATTATTCCTTAACCTGATGCCCTATTTGTCAGGAGGTGTCTTAACTGGATCCATTGCTAATATCTTCCTGCTGGTTTCTTGACAGCTCAAGAATTAACGAACCCCCACTATGCATACAATACATATTCTAAAAAAAAAGTCACATGGCAAACATTTCCCATGACCTGCACACACACAGCTTCCACTCATGTTCCTTCACAAGGCGAAAAATGACTCCCACTCTCTCTCACCAGTGCATCTAAGCATTTCAGAGATATTTAGGCCATGCTGCTACTGTTCTACCAAGCTGCCCACAACCACCCAACACAATGCAAGTGCAACTGTCTGTATTGCACTTCTACCACAGGGGAGCTTTTGTGACAGTGCAGAAAGATGCAGGATTTCATTCTAGTGACCCAGGTCTGCCCTAGTTTATAGATTTGTAAGGAAAAGAATGTATATACTCTCTTATGGTAGCAAATTTATTCCTTGTTAAAAGGACATTAAAACATGCATGTTCATCTTTCCCAAGGGGTGAATTCTAATGTGAAGGAAACTGAAGCACTGAAGACACAGACAGGACAGGACCAAAGTGCCCTTAAAATATCCTTGCATGTGCCTTTCTCCTACTGCTCTAGAGTAGCAAGCCTGGTCCTGAAGCCCAGTCTCTCCAGCCAGTTAAAACCAACTTGCAGTATCGAAGCTGGGCAATTTTTAATTTTTTTTTAAATTAAGCTGCCTAAAAAATCCCTTTAATATCAGATTTAGGGACTCATTTCCACATTCCATATTCATTCTATCCTCTTAAGCTGTAATAGGCCTCCTCCCACACCAAACCTGGTATTGGCCTATGTGCTTAATGCCTGTACTTCCCTACTCCGTTTTCCTGAAATAACATCACTAGTACAGTATTGTCACTGATGGCAGACCTTAAATCAGGTGCCAGGATTCCTGCTACCGTTGTTCAGAAGGCCTGATCCAGAAACCACTGAAGTAAATGGCAAGTTTCCACTGACTTCTAAGTGTTTTGGAGCTGGCTCACAGTGAGCTAGTAAGGAAGTCGAACAGTCAGAGGTATAACAGCAGTTCTGCACTCTAGATGGTGCAGGTGTCACACCCATAGCAGCGAGCTGCCAGAAATGATGCAGTGGCTGGGAAAGTGGCAGTTGCTATTTTGTGCCCCTTCCCCACAAGTTGGCACCTGGGGCTGGTGCCCCAGTCCTTGCACTTTAGTCACTGCCTATCACTCTCCCACTCCCCCTGCAGCTGCTGAAGCAGCTGGAGTCTCTGGAGTGTGGCAGCACAGCAGGCCAAGCCAGGCCGGTGAGCCTGCTGCCTCCATGGCAGCAAAGAGGAGCAGGGAACTCATACTGCACACACAGCAGCAGCAAGGGGGAGCTCATTCTGTCCATGTGGTTGGGAGCTCTGCTGGCTGTGTGGTGGGAGTGCTGGGGAGCCCCTGCCGCCTGAGCATGCAGCATACATGGTGTGCAGCTCTGGGCTTGCAACCAGTGCACCATGCAGCCCCCTGTTTTAAATGGCATGAAGTTCATCCGCTGGCATTCATTTTACAAGGTAGGTTACTTAGTATTCACAGAACAAACTGAATGCTGTTCTGGTTTCCTGCAGATTGCTACTGCTTTGGGTGTAGTACATTAACAAAAACCTATAGATTCTAATCTAGAGTATAGAATTATATACAACGCATTAAACACTGAAAACTAACATACTTGTGCTAGGGGTATAGTAGGATTGCCATATTGTTTTAGAAATACTAATATACTGCACCAGCAAGGCCCTCCTATCGCAAAAAAGCTCTGCTTTCCTCTGGTATAGTAAAATCACTGGTCACAAGAGTTGACTAGTAAGCTGTAAAGGTACTGATGACATGTTATTGAGTTAAATGTATCTACATTTGGGGCTTATGCTCGTATAGCTGCTTCAGTAATTGGTCCAAGGTCCTTTAGCAAGGAAGTGGCAAATGTTTTGTGCTCTAGGTATAGAGGGGATGCAATTTCTGCCTGGAAGACCTTATGGCTAAAATTAAAATTTGTAAGTCTTGACTCCAAGTTGTTTCAAGTGCATTTAAATCACAAGACAGACTGCCTCCTACAGAAATATGCAAGTCAAAATAAAATTAAAATGGTCACGTGCCATGCAAGAAGCTGTACTATAAATGTACTCATCTAATGGAAGGAGTATTTTGGACAGTAGTTACTTACCTACGATGAGTAAGAAAACTACCGCTGACATGTCCTGAGCCATCACATCCTGGAGTCGGACATGACATACCTTCCGTCTTCACTGACTTCCAAGAGAACTGTGAGCCATTTAAGTACCCATCCTTTTGCCTTTTGGCAGCTAGCGGGCACCCTGATGCACTGCGATGGGATGCATATTTTCCAGTTATATGACCCTGACCATCACAACCAGGAACTGGACATCTGGATAGCAGATAGATGAGATAAACTTTATTGTCTTGCCATCATATACCTGGTAGCCTCTACAACAAAGTCAAAATAAACCTGACATGAAAAAAAAAGAAAAATCATGCTCTAAAAAAATCTAAGATTCCCCTTATGGAATACTGTGAAGCATCAGGCTAAAAGAGCTTTGTTAATCTGAAAAAAAAGATATGTAGCTCTTCGGTTCATCAATGACAGAGATACTAATCAATGGCAAAGCCCCAGGCTTGTTCGGTTACAAGAGACATTGTGAGATAGATACATGTTTGAAATGTAGATGTTCATCATGGCATATACCACACTGGATACCACTACTGAGCTTCAGTGACCACATAGTGAAATTTGCTACAAAAACTCTAAATTTTTAAAGTCTTACTTAGTAAAATTCTAGGTTCTGTTTTAATGTGTATATAAAAACTAAAGGGACTAATTTGCAGTTATGGTAATGTGTTCAACTTAGGTATCAGTTATACTCTTGCCCCATTTAGCACTAAGAAGTTAGGTAAAAGATCATGGGCCAGATTTGCAGAGATGATAAACAACCAGAAATGTTATTGGGCAGCGTGCTGAGTGCCTTTCACATTCACTGATTATGTTGCTATTAGAACCTCACGGGACAGGGTCCAGAGATGTCAATCAAATTAGTTTTTGGTGGTCATCAGGTGCACGGTCTTTCTCATGATTTGTTCCCATATATATAAAGGGCCCTGCATATTTTTAAGAAGATATTTAATTACCAATGTTAATAGGGGCAGCTTTCAATATTAACTATTTAAGAAATTGAATTTACTATTCAGTGTGTTGCTGTTTGAGTATGTTTTATATCTTAGGAAACTGAAGCAATCAGTTTCATACTCTGGTTATCCTGCTCTGAAACAAGGCTGCAATATTTGGAATCTAATCCTGGAAGGTGCTGAGAAGTCTCAATGGGAGCTCAGATCACTGTACCTTGCAGAGAAACACAGGCCAACATATTCACACTTGCCTAAAGTTATGCAGAACTTTTGGCAGAGGTGATATCTTTTACTAGACCAACTAAATAGTTGCAAAAAATTTGTTTTTATTTCTTGCCTAAAGTTAGGCACTTGCTTTCATTTCTAGACACCTAAACTATAAGGTTTGATTTTCAGATGTAATCATGCACGCTGTTTCTTTCTTTTTCCCATTAAATACTTTGTTCTGTATAATCATAGTTGGCCTACAGTATTTTCTTACTCTTAAAAAAGAGAATGATGACGTTTGGGGAGGCAGGTGTTTAAGTGATTTTTGCATTTCACATTAAAAGAAGCATTCAGAGGGTCAGATCTTCCCTCAGTATGAACCAACACAGCTCCTCTGACTCATAGACTAGTTACTGAACTCAATGGAGCTACTCTGCAGTGGCATAACTAGGGTGGATGACGAAGGCAGCTGCCCCAGGCTCTGATTTGTGTGTGTAGGAGGGAGTGGGTATGGGGCAGAAAAATATGGCTGCTACTGCAACCATGCAAACACACAATTGGCGTAGCACCAAATGGAAGTCATTGCTGCAAGTAGCAGCTGCGCCATGTGCTCTGGCCATGTCATGACACCTCTCTTATTCTGATTTATAGTGCAGAATCATATACTAGTGTACCATGATTGAAAACAACTAAACATAGGTCATGTGCTTCAGCGTACCTTTCTTCTTGAATTACTGTGACAAACACAACAAAGTTCAAGGTAAAAAAAGTAGATGTACCTGATCTCATAAAACACATAAAGGCCATTTGGACTAAATTTGTACTTACCTAATTGGCTCTTGATCTTCTTTGTCTTCCTTGCTTTGTGCTATCCTGATTCCACTTTTCTTTGCTCGTGGACAACCTGAAAGACTGAATGAAGATAATATTTTACAGCATAATTCCTTATTTTTTTATAATTTTAACAAGGGGATCTATAAAGGTGTATTCTTTCCACATGAAATACTAGTAGCTAGACTCTGCTTTTTTGTTTTCAATAGTATTAGCTCAGGTAATTTAAAGAGTAGAGATAGCTGGCAATACATAACCACAAGGGGAATCCAAGTATCTATGTTTGTGATAGCAGGCTGGGACTTGGAGTACTGTGCAGGCTACACACAGAAAGACCTTGAGGAGACAGATAAAGTAGGTATTACAGTCTGTGTCTGATGATCCATCCAGCTGACATAGCAATAGAAGACTCCAAAAATAGTAGGATCCACAGTTTTATGACCAGAAAGATAGTACATTTGTTCTGGTTGTGAAAGAAGGAAAATAAAATGAAAAAAACAGGAAGGATCTTTGGTTCTATTGAGGAGGGCTAACTGAAATCACTGTCATTCGAAATCTTTTAGTGCAGGGGTGGCCAACCTGTGCTATGGGTGCCACAGGTAGCATGGGCAACCTCTGTGTGTGGCATGCAGCAGCCTGGGGAGGGGACAGGAAGTACAATGATAGGTATGGCAGAGAGCAGAAAGCAGAGCATCAGATCAGGCAGACAGTACAGAGTATGGAACAAAGTGGAGCAGCAGCTTGGGCTGAGAATGTAGGGCAGGGAGCAGAAAGCTGAGCAGCAGACCAGGTAAGGGGAAAAGATCGGACTGGCACTTCGGGAAGTATTCCAAGTTCACAAAGGAAAGGTGAAAATCTAATATAGACATCAATAGTTAGCTGGTAAAACTAGCATTTATTAGACACTAAAATGTGCTCAGCACATTACCAGATGCAAAGGATTTCTCTGACCGCAGACTGCATAAGTTATTTTTTCCATATAAAGTATAGGTAATGTGAAAATGAATAGATTTTACTTGCAGCTATGCTGAAAAAGTCTGGGAACACCAGAATAACTATTCAAAGAGTTGAAAATTATTTTTATGTACATTGGGAACACAACTTTGTACATCCAAAACTGATGCTTAATCTTAAATTTAAATGTTTTTCAACTTAAGTATACGGATATGAAAGGAGATATTAACTGAAGAGACAGACAAGCATCTAAACACCTTTGAAAGTTATGACGAGAGACAAATATTGCTACAAGTGAAAACTGAGACACAAAGCCAAGAGGAGTATTAAATGGTCTATTTCCATCAGAGTGAAAAGTTAAGAGTGGGATTCCTCAAGGTTCCATCCTAGACCATGCGTTTTTTATATAATAATTATAATAAATTATAATTATAATTATAAAATTCTTACAAACGGAGGCAAGTGATAAGGCAGCAAAATCTGCAGATAATAGAAATGTTATATGAGTCTGTTAAGACCTGAGAGGACTGTGAGGAATTTGAGACCTAAACAAACTAGGGTAAAGAGCAACACAACTGCAAATGAAATTCTGAATTGATAAATACTAGGTAAATTATATTAGAGGGAAAAAATAGTTTACACTTTACATGGTTTCAATTTAACTGCATCAGCTCAAGAAAAGGACCTAGCCCTCATGATTGATAGTTCAGTGAAGACCTCTATTCAGTATACAGCTGTGGTCAAAGACAGCTAAAAGGACGTTAGATTATATAAGGAATGGAATTGTAACAAAGCATAAGAACACAATAATGACTCTATCCATCTCATTGACAATACTGTTTGCAGTAGTCATCACCCAGTTGCAAAAAAGCATATTGCAGAACAAGGGGATGATAAAAGAAGCAAGGTAAGAATGAACAGAGACCTGAAAAAATGAGCAAAAACTGAAAAGATTTGGAATATTTACCTTAGAAGTGAGATGATTAAGAAAGGTTTGTCCACATGAACAACAACAGGAACAATTGCATTAAAAGGTGAAAATTTTAAAACCAATAAAGGCAAATACTTTTCTACAAAATGTAGATTAAGCTGTATAACTCACTGCCCATCATTGAGGCCAAGATCTTAACAAGATTCCAGGAGGTATTAAATATTTATGATGATATCAAGAATATTCAAAGGTAGAATTGGTGCTAACAAAACTTGTAAGGAAGGGATATACAAGTCTCGTGCTTCCAGGGTTAAGCAAATGTCTAATTCTTCATAGAAAGAGAACTAGTACAGTTGTACATCATCCCAAACCAATCTTCTAGGATCCTTATACCTTCCTCTGAAGTACTTCACTCCTCTGAAGTACCTGGTGCTAAACATGTTGGTCCTGGGGCCAGATTTGTTCAATATGGTCATTAACAATCTGGAAGATGTGATGGATTGCATCCTTAGTAAATTTGCGAGTGGCACCAAGCTGGGAGGACTAGTAGATATGCTGGAGGGTAGGACTCAGGTAGGATTCAGAGTGGCCTAAACAAATTAGAGGATTGGGCCAAAAAAATCTCATGAGGTTCAACAAAGACAAGTGCAAAGTCCTGCACTTAGGACAGAAGAATCCCATGCACCACTACAGGGTTGGGACCAGCTGAGGGTTACACTCATATTCAGAAGCTGAATATGAGTCAAGTGTGCCCTTGTTGCCAAGAAGGCTAATAGCACACTGGGCTGCATTAGTAGGAGCATTGCCAGCAGATCGAGGGAGGTGATTATTCCTCTCTATTCTGCACTGGTGAGGCCACATCCTAGTGAAGTAATAATTGTTGTTACTGGGCAGCCCTGGGTGCATCTACATGTGATGCTATGTCGCCGTAGCAATATGCTACGGCGACATAGCATCGACGAGCACAAACTGTGATGCTGCAGATATGGTGCTGTAGCAAGGTACTCCCTCAATATAGCACAATGCTACAGCAATGTAGCAGCTAGAAATAACCGTGTGCCACCACCGTACAAAAGGAAGTACTAAATGAAAGTTCAGTAACGACAGCACCATAGGGGCATGTGTAGACGTGCCTAGTGATATTTACACATAGTCTTCATCACAATATCAGACTAAAGAAAAGATGCCTCAATGAATGATTTACCTCTTTCTTCATAAGCAATCAATTTAATTATCACACACTTATTGGTATGTTTGTGCATTATCTTACTATAATAGGATTTTGAAAATGTGAATCATGATTTATTAGCAAATGCAAGACCTTTCAGGTTCCTTAGTACATTTCAAACACACAATTCTGGAGGTATGTTGTTTTTTTTTAAACAGCATGTTCCTTAAGAAAACACTTTTCAAATATGAGCCTTTGTTTTAGCGTTTTACTCTATTGTAACTAACAGCTATTACAGAGTAAACATATTTATTTCATTTTTTTATGACAGACTAATTCCTTATAATTTAAGACAGAGGATGACAGGCGACGTTCAGCCCTGAACTATGCAAGTATAACTTCAACTTCTTGAATTGCCTCATTAACTTAAATGGACTTGCACATGATTATACCAGGGCTAAATTTTGGTTCATGTATTCATGGGCTTAATATTCAGCAGGCATTTTAAATACGAATCATGCCCAGACATTTTAACAGACAGTTAGACAATTGTACATCATTCAGATATTTGGAAGAGTTTTTAAAAGTTTTATCAAGTTTAAAGAAAAATGTTACTTTAACCCAGATTTAAAAGGATTAAAATAATATATATTTTCAGGGAGGGATGTAAAAATACTAGACAGACTGGAAGTCTACCACACATAACAATTCTTAAAGGTTTAGGTTATCAGTTCATTATTTCTTTCATCAATATACACTGACTATGCAATTGTATATATTTTAGTAGCCATCCTGCCAGATCTCACAGGCTAAGTAATGTTGGAACAACTCAGCACATAGACTTGATATCTCTAGGGAAAATCAGTAGGCTTGGGGATTCAGTAGGCAGAACTCTTTCCAGTGCTTCTTTTTGTGTCTGAAAACATGGCTTTCTAGGGGAGGTGAAATCAGAGTCATTGAGCCTTGCGGTCACTAAACCCCAGTGACCCAGACAAATAAAAGATGTATTTACATACACACACCCACACATATACAAACACCTATTTTACTTCCTGGCATATGCAGGGCATGCAACAAAACAAATGAAACCATGGTCTAAACCAGTCTCCCTAATCTAAATTAGGAAAACACGATTGGTCAAATACACAAAAAATTGGATCAATCTGAGTAGCACTGTAAAACACGCATTCCCTCCACCCCATTCATAATATAATGCATTGGATTACCACGTAAAACTCCATATTAATGCTAGAAAGCACTGGAGTAACTGCTGAGACACAATAAGGAACATGAGCATTTCCAGTTGTATTCTAAAACTCTGGATTGCCCCACCACAGATGTACCTTAAAGTGTGAGATTATCCCCAGACAATGGTCAAATCCCCGAGGAGCAGATGTTTTATATTATTAATGCCTGTTTGTATAGTATAGATGATTAACACCAGTGGTGTCTGTTTAAAAGAGAGATTCAAATTAGTGTTCCTGCTGGAAGCACCAGGAGAACAAAATAGAGGCATAAATGCACTAAAATGAGTGTGGGAGGGAAGAATCAGCTACGGGCAGTTGAAATACTGAAAATCTGATGCATTTGTCCTGGACAGCCCATTTATCAATCAACTGATCCCTAATTCTTCACAGAGCAGGGACTGCCTACAGGAGCAGAGACATGGGATGGATATAAACCCAGAACACAAGAGCAAAACCCTTTTAAAAACAAGTTGACCTCAGGATAAACCCAAGAATCTGGGTGCCTTATGTTAAAGAAAATTTTTAAAAAGTTGGGCTGTGGCCTCAGCCTTTTTTTTCTACATTAGCTGGTAGGATTGTTTGATGCACACTGGGAAACAGTCTGCCTTATCTGAGTGAGCTGAACAGCCTGTACCCTCCCTTACATGCCAGCGAGGTAGGAGAGGACTGGTCCACCTATCTGATATTTTAACTCTTGGCTCTGTCTGCATTGAGTCCTGTGTGACACACAAATTTCATAAACCCATAAACAGGGGGCATATCTACATGAGATGTTTACATGAGAACTCAATCTATAAAAAGATGTCTTGGGTAGCAAGGGCATAGAGATACTGTACAGAGGGAGGTCATGCCTGTACCCCTGTCTCTCACTATGCAAGTCCTGAATAGTAAAACAACTGTTTATAAGAGAATCTGTTCACCCAGGACTACTGAAGTAGACTTACAATGGTTTAAATAGGACACAGGTGCTGCAGAAATGCACACAGGGGGCATGTCTACATGAGATGTTTACTGTGGAGTAGACTAATTAGCTCTTCATTAAATGTCTCGGTGACTACATGTGCAGAGCTATTAGGCTGGAGTAAGCTAATAAACTCGGTAGCGGGGTAGTACCTATAAATACAAGTACTGTCCTGCTGCAGAGTTTTTTATTCCAGCTCTTCTGCAGCAGGTTGAGATGGGTCAGAGCAGCCCTGGGCTGGCAGGCTGACCCCTCCCTGGGACCCCTGCTCTGACCCAACTTAATGTGCTGTGGTCCTGGGCGCATGTATAAATGCAGTACCTGGGAGCAAAAATCTCTGGCATGATAAGCACCAGAGTTTATTGTGTCACTTTGATACGTATGTGTAGACCTGCCCAAGGTAATTATACATTTTCTAAACATCACACGGTGGAGCTATGCACTAACTCACCACTGTCCAGGGTGGCAGGGGAATAGGAGATGGAGTATGTCTTTTTGGAAACCCAGTGGCCACAAATAGCTCTGGAAAATGTCCTCAAAGATCATTGTCTCTATTTTCAGGATTGAAATATGTCACAGATGAGGGCAGGGATGTCCTTCATCTCACTTGTAGGTTTAGGTGCATTTCGTTTGCCCAAA